TTTGATCTTCATTAGAGAGTTTACTTTATCCTCCTCAGCCTGGAGGTCATCTAACGTCTGCTGGTGCACCTCCTGCAAAGCTTTGATGTCCTTTGAAGACTTCAGCAGGTTTCCTCAAGAGTGCTAAGCTCCTCCACAAATCTTAAGGGAGAGAAGCATTTTTAAGTTAGTGTGTTAATACTGTTTAAGGTTTTACATGATGAAAACCATCGACGGCACCTTATTTTCTGTGGCATATTTCTCTTCTCCACTTTGGCGATGGTGAGTCCAGGTCGTCGTGTCTCTTTTGAGCTCCGAACATTAGTCCTCCAGCTTCCTCTTCTTAGCGGTGACTTCGGAGTTGATCTCCTCCTCTTCTCCATCCTCTCGGAGAACTCTTTGACTTTGGCCTCCAGGTGGATTTTGCTCTTTATCAAGCTTCACACTCTCCTCGCATCGCACAGGTTCTCCCTCTCCTTAAGAGCAGGGACACAGTGGTGCATTAACAGTGCACTAAAAGTGAACAGTTCATCTACAGATGATGGATCTGGTTTAGGACACTTTCAACACACACTTTGAATAAGCTCCAGCATTGGCATTCTGTACGCCGCTTGCTCGTGGTCTAATTCTACTGGAATGTAAAGACGCAATTCCTCCATCTCATCTGCAGGGTCAGGAATATATTATCAGAGGTTAGAAAAAATTAAGCACACACTACGAGTTCATATGGCATATTCTGCAGGATTTGCCATCCCTTTCTGAGATTCGTAGAGGAGGAGCTAGAATTAGGGATGCACCAAAATGAAAATTCTTGGCCGAAACTGAAACCGAAATAATGAAAAGATTGCTGAATACCGAACACCGAACAAGTACATTCACTTTTTTACCACTGCTAAAAAAAAGTCAACTTGTGCTTTTTACTCTGTGTTCCACAGGATTTGGAGGACTATGGTGTGGGGGTCCGAGGCTAAAGAGGGTCCACTAAAGTAAATGACGTGTCCATTACTTTTAATGGATACATGTAATATGTTTTATACTTTCTGTGAATATAATCCATTAATCTTATTTATACCTTATCCTTATTAATCCTGTATAGATGCCTTATTTTAAAAACTGTCGTTGTCACATGTGTATCCTCGCTCTAAATTCAGAAAGTCTGACCCAATATGATAATAATGTTGAATGTGGTTCTCGATCGAGTAACATGAAGACTTCACAGCCTCTCTCAGGTAGGACTCTCATACTGCAACACTTGTCTTTGTAAAGAGAGAATCTAACAGGATAAAGTCGCTAACCTGCCTGTCAGCTCGCACTGGTCCGTCACAGTGGATTTACCATAAAGGCTTGAATGTGTGTGCACTCAAATTAGGTGTGGCTAGCTTATCGCCTTCTCACAACGACTGACAGAAACACTCAAAGTGGGTCAGACTGTTTGTTGCCTTTTCTAAGAAGTCAGCCAGAGAGGGATGTGCCAGGAGACAATTCAGCATAACAGTGTCTGCAAATGGCCATTTTTGCGTCTTTTCGACAATTTAAAAGGCTTCCACACTGCTGACATGTCAACGTAATTGTTTGGTAAAATTTATTTGACCTTTTGACTATTAGGCCAAACACCGAAAGTGCTATTTTGCTATTTCCGTCCGATGTGATTATAGGATCATGGTATTGCTTAAATATCTCACTCTGATAGACCCTGAGAATTAGGATAGTCTCTCTTGAATTTAATGTTCTTATTAATTAATTTTAATAATTTTTCTAATTTTATACTGTAAACTCCAATGTAATATAGCTATTATTTCAGTTACTGACTTTAATAAATTTGTTACCAGTACAGTGAAAATGCTGTTAACTTTTATTATTTGAGTTTACTGCGTTTAGTCCTTCCTTGATGTATTTTACATTTATCTATTGTATCTATTTATTTGTTTATTTTGAGGGGGCATGTGTGTTCTGTATGTGTTTTGTATGTGGAGCACTTTAAAAAGCAACAAAGTTAAAAAAAGATTATATCCCCTGCGAGATCAATGACACCTCCTTTAATCCCACATTATATTGATTATGTAGCTGCTAAACTTCAGTATTTTCTCTCCTAATCTCTTTATCTGACAGAATTAAATCAATACAAACAGACCCTTTGTTCTATTCATGGTTGAATGTTTACATACTGCTTGGATTTGAAGGTAAAGGTCATTTTTCTCCTGGACGAGCGTGACCATTTTCTCCTCCAGCTCCTTCCTCCTGGCCTCTGACTTTGCAAACTCCTCTTTGAGTCGTGAGAATTCCTCTTTCATGGTCTGCATCTCCTTCTCGGCCTCCGCACTTCGTAACAGAGGCTTTATCTTGAAGTAGAGCCTCATCCAAGGCCAGTTCTTCACATTCATGAATGAACGGATGTTGTATTGGATGATGAAGATGGACTCTCTACAGTGTGAAAAAGGAAAAAAACAATATTCAATAAACAATGTTGTCATGAAAAACTGATGACCTTTCTAAGGCTTTCCATACATAATTTAAAACAAAAAGACAAAACAAAACAAAGAAGTACTTGTGGAGAAAGAACAGAAACTTTTTCAAGATGCGTCACCTTAAGATATTTAACTACATAACCAAAATTTCTGAAAAATGGGGGGCAAATACACAAAGAATGGATTGCAGCACCGTGAATTGTGCATCACTTGCCACCACTACACACCACAGCGCAAACACACCCATCAAGTTTTACAGCTGAGTGCAGTTTGTCCTTGTTTAGCGTCTGTTCATTTGCAATTTTCTGTAGTGGTCCCAGTAATATTTCTTTTTTATAGTCTGCTGAAGTAGCAGTTAAAAAACATTTGACTCAAAACGCAGCAGCAAGAAAAAAACTTTCCACTCATATCTTAAAATGTTTGAGTTAAAAGTTAATAACTTTCGTAAATATCAAATAACTCCGCTCTGCTCTTTAATTTGTTTCTATCGGCCGTCTCTCGTTTTTCTATGGCTCATTCTGTAAGGACATATTAATTAAACTAAAGTTGCAAGTTTAAGAAAGATGTTGATTTGTCAGACCTTTTCTTTGCCATCTCCTTGAACCTCAGCCTGGTGACATAACCTCTGGACACAGCCTGTATGCGAGTTATCAGCACAGCCAGACGTTCATCCCTCATCTCCTCTAGAAGACCCAGCAGGCCAGCTTTGAAAAAAACCTGTGTGTTGTGAAGATACAACATGTCAATGGAAATGAATATAGTATCAGTTGGGTTGCTTGGGGCAGATTAAACCCTATGTCCTGTCCAAAGTCCATGATGGGAATCTAAAACGGTCCATTAAAGGTCAGACTGATTCCATTATTTAGGGTGGTTTAGCAGCTGATATATGGGGGCAGTCTCTGGAATCCATTAAGCCTTTAAATGAATGAATGAATTTAATTAAATGGCATGTCATATTACAGAACAATTCAATTTATTATGTCACAGTGTATGGTTTTACTTTTTTACTGTAAGTAGCTGGACTCAGAGAGAAACCATATCAGAGGCTTCTGTCTGATATTTGAGAAACTGTATTAAGTTCACATACAGAAACACACATTGTCAGAATTTTCAGATGAAATACCTTTGTGTATCCAAATCTATACTGAGCATGGTCCACATCAATGGAGGAGAGTAGTTTCTCTGACGCCTTCTTGCTGTCAATAAACTGCCCCTCAGGGATCGCACTGGCATTCAGAATCCGGTACCTTTCACAGAGACAGTTCAACCTCAAACAGGTGAGTTTCAGTGTTTTGTCATGTGTGTGTGTGTGTGTGTAATCCCCCCAGACAACATAAACAAAGTGCGGTGCATCACCTCTGCCTGAAATCTCCATAGAGGATCCTGCTTGGGAATCCCTTTCTGCAAATCCTGATACCTTCCAGCACGCCGTTACAGCGTAACTGGTGAAGGACCAGATGGTGGTCCATGGACCCTACATGTGTTAAAGTCATAGTCCAATATTTTAGGTAAACAAACACAGTCTTTAGAAGAGTTAGAGGAGGAAATTGATACTACTCTCATGTTTGTAATTAGCTGGAGCCAGCAGCTGGTTAACTTAGCATGAAGAAATTGGAAACAGGGGAAAACCGCTAACATGGCTCTATAACAAAGGTAACAAAATCTTTCTACATGAATGTCTCACTAATTAACACGCTATATCTAATTTCTTTAATCAAAAATAAAATGTAAAGACTCTATCACTTTGAACCTTACCTGGTGTTTTGGTTTCATTGGGGATAATGCATCTTACAAAGTGTGGATGTGTGGATCTGAGGTTGGCCATCAGTTTATTTAGATTTTCCTGCATGAGATAAAACAGGTCTCTTAACAATCAGTCTTGATCTTAACTTAAAGAAAAGGTTACATGTCAGGTAGTGAGACCGATGCACGGACATTAACCAAGGTTAGGAGTCTACCAGGGACACTGAGTTTCTGAATCTTACCCTGAAAAGTGCAGAAACTGTCTGGAAAGAGGAGCCCTTTTTCTTGAAACTTCTCTTACTTCCATCAGCAGCAGCTACAGAAACACAAGAGAAGCAACATAACCGATGTCGTAAACTATATGGCCAGCAACATCTTACTGTAATATGTCTGTGAACTGACCGGCAGAAGTGGCATATGTGGCAAAGAGCTGAGAGAGCAGCTTAAGGGAAGCTTTTTGGTAAAGTTGCACCACAGTGTCATTTAGAGGGTCTTTATTTTTTTCCAGCCAGCCGCTGATATTGTAGTCTACAGTTCCGGCATAATGCATCAGCGAGAAGTGGGCTTCTGCTTTTCCTTTGCAGTGCTTGGGCTTCTGAAAGATGCTGGTCTTCCCCAGGTGTTGGTCGAACAGCTTGTTCTTGAAGGAGCCATCTGTCGCCTTTGGAAACATGCACTCCTCTTCGAGAATTGAAAAAATACCCATCGGCTGCAGAACAGAAAGCTGATTAGTCTTGGAAAGCGTGCATCTCCTGTTGATATAAATATTTGTGTTCATCAAAAGGTGACGTACCTTTTCAATGAGCTCAATGCAGGCTGCCAAGTCCATGCCGAAGTCAATGAACTCCCACACAATTCCTTCCTTTTTGTATTCCTCTTGCTCCAACACAAACATGTGGTGGTTAAAAAACTGTTGCAGCTTCTCATTTGTAAAGTTGATGCACAGCTGCTCCAGGCTGTTCATCTGAATTAAACCACATAGAATAAATAAATATAAAGATACGTGAAAAGAACGTGTTTTATTTATTGTTGTGTTAATCCCGTTTACCTCGAAGATCTCAAACCCTGCAATATCCAGGACGCCAATAAAATGCTGTCTTGGGAGTTTGGTGTCGAGCTGCTGGTTGATCCTCGTGACCATCCACATGAACAGCTTCTCATACACGGCCTTAGACAGGGCACCCATGGCGTTGTTCACCTATAATCAAACATAATCTTTTTATTAGGGCTGGGCAAGTTAACGTGTTATATCGCATTAACGCATTAATTATTTAAAGAGGTCATATTATGATCATTTTCAGGTTCAAAATCTTATTTAGGGGTTGTACCAGAACAGGTTTACATGGTTTAATTTTCAAAAAACACCATATTGTTGTCATACTGCACATTGCTACAGCTCCTCTTTTCACCCTGTGTGTTGAACGCTTCGTTTTAGTTATGGAGTGATGCATCTTGCCTCCACATGATCTTTGTTGGGAGCTGCACATGTGCAGTTCCTAGTTAAGGACTACTAGCCAATCAGAAGCAGAGTAGGGCGGGCTTGAATTTCTGAATGGGCGAGTAGAGGCTTTAAATCGAGCAAGTCACCTCACTCTAATAGTGACACTTGCTACTGAACATAGACTGTTTACGCTGCTCCCTGATAACATTTAAATTTACATTTACTCATTTGGCTGACGCTTTTATCCAAAGCAACTTATATTTGAGAAACAACATATAAGCATCAACAAAGCATCAAATACAGCACGAGATCTACAACTGATAAAAGAAAAAATGTTTCTGCTGATACCTGTTCAGAAAAAAAAAACAAGAATACAGATTTATATTTGTTAACCTGTTGCTCAGAAGGTGCCTGTTATGATGTTACGATCATGGCTCTGGACTCTGGAAGTTAGATAAAAGGTAATGCCTGAGTGTCCAGACAAATAGCTTTGGTTAAATACTTGAATCAATTACATTAATGTTTAAGTTGAGATTAACAAGAAATATTTTATTGCTACTGTGTAAAGGGAATACTGCTGATAAAAAGTACCTTATGCGTTTATTGTGTTTGCAAACCACATGTTATTGCACTTTTGTGTATATAGCAGTACATTTAAATAAAAAATGCGCAATACACTACTTTAGAATTCAGTATTCAATTTTGCGCATAACTATGCGATTAATCACATTGTTATTAAAATTTGTAATTGTTGCCCAGCCCTACTTTTTAATTATTTTTTATTCACACTGAACATGATTAAAACATGCTTTCAGATGTAAAAACATGTCAGCTGTACCTGCTGCGGAGTCTGGCCTTTGGTGACATACTCATTGCCAACCTTCACTCGGGGATAACACAGCGCTTTCAGCAAGTCAGCTGAGTTTAGACCCATGAGGTAGGCAACTTTGTCCGCCACTGTGGGAGATAAATCAGACTTAGTCATGTGAAGCACATACTATGCTTAAAAATGTGAAGTAGGAAAATTATGATAGCGTTAAGAGTGAAACTGTAATGTTGCCACAGTGAAGTTTAAATGTGGAGTAACAGCTCAGACGTCTCACCCTCACTGCCATCGGGCTCCGCCTGCTCCTCCCGCTGCTTCTGCTTGAACTTCATGTTCCCGTTGTGCATTACAGCTCCAGTCAGCTTGTAGATGCCCACCTTTTCCTCCGTGTTAAACCCCAGGATGTCAATGGCACTCTGAGGAACAGACACAGATGTTAAAGCGTTGTGATTAGTATTGTTAGTCTTAGTTTACCATTCATCCATCCATCGTCAACCCCTTATCCTGCGTACAGGGTCGTGGAGGGCTGGAGCCAATCCCAGCTGACATCAGGCGAAAGGCAGGGTACACCCTGGACAGGTCGGTCTTAGTTTACCGATAATATAATATTATCAACTTTAAGTGGAAGTTTTCACTTTACAGCGTATAATTCGCTCTGCTGAGAAGGTGAGTAACTCTAATCTGCCATACCTCCAGGACCTTTACAGTTTCCAGGAGCCAGAGGCGAGCAGGCAGGATTATGGCTGACACCTCCTACCCTAGACAGAAACTTTTTGAGACACTACATTTGGCATCCTCTTTGTTTCAAACACTGTCCGGCTCTTTATTTTATATATTTTAAATACTTGTTTTTTGTTTATGATTGTTGACTTTTCCAGTACCTGCCTACTATGTTCACTGTTGTGCACCAAAACACCAAGGCAGATTCCTTTTATCTGGTTCTGATTGTGATCCTTATGATACAGTTTGATGATCTTCTGTTATGGTTTAACATGATTTTCTGTCCAAATGAATGATGGCAATCAATCAGAACGAATAAAATACGTTATTTGAGTTTAGACCCATGATGTAGACACATGGACACGTAAAGCACATACTGAGCTTAAAAAGTGTACAGAAGTGAAGCTGTGATGTTGCCACACTGAAGCTTTGTCCATTTTTTAAGAGTTGAAAAAGCTCACTACATTAAACTATTTAAGAAAATTATTTTCTTTGCATATATTTCCAATATGATAAAATATATCTACATGGTGCACTCACATCTGTGGCCATCAGCTCCTCGGGATCATTGATGCTCAGCACAGTGATTTCACCCTGGCTGATGAAAGGGTAGTCATATGGATTGGTGGTTATCAGCAGCATCTCTGGAATGAAACACAGAAAGTAGTGATCTCTTTATGCAGGTTCAGCAGCTGCAGTAGCAGTGCGGCAAAAGTCACATTCACAACTAGTTTAAAGCGTATTTACCTATTAAATCCGGCTTCCTGTTTGACATGATCTGATAAAAGATGTGATAGCTCCTCTCTGCCGGCAGCTGAAAGGTCACTCTGGATTTTTCCAAAAGGTCTGATCATAAAAACACGGAAATAAAATATTATTACAAGAGCAGTGGGAAATCAGTAACGGTGATTTGAGCAAACTTACAAGTTTCAATATCAGCTGATGCCAACTTCCCCTTTGTTCCAAAGTGAATGCGGATGAATTTGCCCTGGAAAAGTTAAATTATTATGAGTTACAATATATTACTGAACTGTCATCATTTGCATTTTTATCTCAAGATCAGCAGTTAATTATCTTGTCAACAAACATTTTTTTTATTATCAAGAGAAAACATGGATAGCAAATGAATTATAATAATATGTGCAAAATTGTCTGCTCTCATCTTCCTTACTGATCAGATTTGAACTTACAAATCGAGACGAGTTGTCGTTTCTCACAGTCTTGGCGTTGCCGAAAGCTTCCAGCAGAGGGTTGGCCTGGATGATTTGATCCTCCAGAGTCCCCTGTAAACTCAAATTATGAATAATAACTTCAAAAGAGCTGTTGCAACACATGGTTACATAGCTAATCAATATATTATTAGAATGGAAGATAGGTGGACTGAACCTGCATTTTGCCGGCAGCTTGCTCTTTTTGCTGGAGTCTCCGAATGATGCAATTGTTGCAAAATACTGGATGACTCTCTTTGTGTTGACAGTCTTCCCCGCACCAGATTCTCCACTAACAAAAGTACAGTGTGAGGTGAGTGATAAGAAATAATGTATATTTAGTACCTGTTGCAGCACATGATGTCGCACTTACGTGATCAGGATAGACTGGTTCTCTCGATCTGTTACAGAGAAAGAAACTGGGTGAACATTGGTATATTTCAGCTGTAATTTTTACAATTTCAGTTCAATTCAAAATGTTTTATTGGAATAAAAAATATATGTATAAAGTACATATAGGCTAATAAACAATACAATTATATTTTTTTAAAGTAAGAGAAAAAACAAATAAAAACAAAATAAATCTTTAGCATGTAAAATGTTTTGTTTGTTTCAATGTGTACTATATGTGACATTTCTGCAGCAAACGTTCATTAACCACCCTGATAGTTGTGCCTGATGAATATTTTAATTCAGTTTTAGTATGTATCCTCTTCAATCTTTTTTTTTACAGTTCTGTGACAGACACAGATCCTGATATATTTTCCTTTTTGTGTCAGACCATTTGACTATTTGATTACTTTCAAGATGTAAAGAGAATTTTTAACAAATAAAACAAGAAATGTTTCGAAATAAATTGCCTACCCCAGACACTCTGATAGTTGCTGTAAAACCCCAGAAAACCTGGTTTCAAATCTTGAATATTACTCCATTATATAATGTTTTCATCACTAAATAAGCAATAAACAATCAATGTTAAAGTTCAGAGAGAAACATAAGTAGAAGTAGCATAAGTTATTATTTTTTAAGAGATCCTGATTGTTGCATGGAAGTACATGACACCATCTTTTTAAAAATGAGCCGCTCTGACTTCAAATCAGCGAGAGGACAAAGAGGACAGAGAAAGACACGAATACAGAAATCAAAACTCCTTGAAGCATTCATGGAAGACCTCATCATCACTCACAGCAAGTGTAAAATGTCTTTTCAGGTTCTTTAAGTTTTTTTTCTGAGGGTATTCTGTCATTACCTTGATGCTTTTAATCATCATTCATATAAGAGCACATATCAGGTATTATCAGTGGTGGAAAGTAACTAAGTACATTTACTTAAGTACTGTATTTAAGTACAGTATTGAGGTACTTGTACTTGAGTATTTCCATTATATGTTATTTGTTTTAGATTCCCAGTCATCCAGGTCATAGTTATCCAAAGAAGGTTAAAGTCAAGGGCAACTGGACTTGGTTGAAGACAGTCAGTCAGAACTGAAAAAGTCCTTTGGATGAGGGACAAAACGTCTTCTTTTATCTTCAACCAAATCCAGCTGCCCTTGACTTTAACCTTCTTTGTATATACAAAGGCAAATGTTTTTTTTACTGCATTGTACTATATTTATTTGATAACTTAAGTTGAGAGTTACTTTGCAAATTCAGATTAACAATATAAGATATGATCAACAAAGGCTTTATGGAAATAATAAACACCCATCCAATAATATAATATGTATTAATTTCAAAATGTAACACTGTATATCATGGTGAGACTGGACCTGTGAGCACGAACTGGTAGGCGTTGTCAGAGATGGAGAAGATGTGCGGGGGGGCCTCTTGCCGTTTCTTTCCACGGTACCCGGCCACCACCTCCGGGTTGTAGACTGGAAGCCACTTATAGGGGTTCACAGTCACACAGAAGAGCCCAGAGTAGGTCTGTGAATACATGAGAGAGAAAAAACACCAAAATAAAGAAATTATGAAGCAAGTTTAAGGACCCTGGGTGTCATGGTAATGAAAATATGTACATGAAGTTTGCCACAGAAAATAAATCTATTTGGTTTCTACACATTTTGAACTAGAAAGATAATTTATTTTCTTTGTGTGTTCATCTTTTGTAGTTACATAGATCATCCAGGCGGCGTAGCGCTCCTTGAGGTTGAAGAGCACGGCCGGTTCATGGAGATGCGTCAGCAGGGCCATGTCCTCGATCTTGTCAAACTTGGGAGGGTTCATGGGGCGAACGTCATCCAGGTGCACAGTGACAACCTGAAGTGTGAATTCAAAGGTCCAGTGACTTGAATGACAGATAAAAACAGACAGATTTCTAAACCACAAAATACCCCCACCTTTCCATTCTCAGTCTCCACAGTGACATTAGCACCGTCTTGGCTTTTGATTTTTCCCTTCACATACTCCTGCTTCGGGTCAGGCACAAAGACGGCTGTTTTGGCATCAAACACCATGTTTTGGGCTGCGATTCTCTCCCGTTCTGATTTGCGGAGGTACGGGGCAGCCACCCCGAATATTTCCATCTCGACATCACTCATTTTTATCTAGCTGCGTGAGCGGGGACAAACACATGTGCACACAAATAGTTAAAAAGTAAAGAGATGTTGTCAGAATTAAAAAATTGGATGAGACTTACCAGAGTCACAGTTTCATCAAATGTTTGAGTGCTTTTGAATAAGATTCCCCGCTCTTGTTTCAAAAGAACACCGCAGACATCACTCACCCTAACAAGACTTTAGCAGCTTTTATAAGCTATGGTCAGGCCTGTTTCATGACACCTTCTTCTCCTATATTTGGAGATCTGGCTACACTAACTTGGAAAAGTCAAGTATGTCCATTTTGTATTCTGAACTGTCTATGTTTAGCCGTATTGTGTCACTTTTAAATGGTTTCAAATGTAATCCTTCAGACTGCCCATTAAAAAGCAATGAATGCTAAGGACGGCAGCTTAGAGGGCTTACGGTCCCGACACGGCGGGCCTAATTTTCTGGGATCAGGGAAGATTAGGTCTGTTTGGGCATCGCTGACATTCTGGCATTGGCTGTCTAGAGAGCAGAGCCGATCACACACGACTGGTTGGGTTTTGTGTTGGGAGCAGCCGGTGTCGGCGGTCAACATTTAGCACACAGAGGCCTGTCTCTATCGACCAACATTTTTTTGACCATGGTTCTAATCATTAAATATGTTTTGATACATATTTAGTATTATTCATCAATGTTTGTAAAGTCTGCTTGGAATCTTTTTTGTGTTTGGTTGCTGCTTTGTGTTTTATTGTGTGCCTTTTGTGTTTTTATTATGATTGTAATGTACTTAGTACTTAATATATTTTAGATGATATATCTGGATATAAACACTCGTCTGCATCTTGTCGCATTTTGTGTCCTTTGTTTTGGTTTGGTTATTTGGCTTTGGATTAAAATGAGCCATTTGGTTAAATCCTGCAAAATCTGTTGGTCGGTTGGTTCACAACTTTGGTCTGGACATAAATATCTCTTTTGAATGAACTTTAATGAAATTTTGTAGTTAATCATGGTCCCTACATAACAGATGAATCCTAAAAGTTTGTACAGACATTCATGGTTACAAGACAATATGTCCTACTGACTTTGGTGATCTCCTGACTTTTCCTCTAGCGCCACTAACTGGTGGTTTTGAGTGAAATGTCACAAAAACTATAGGACGGATTGCCGTACTTTGATTTGTAACCTGCAAAGCAAATGACATTACCATCATCCTCAGCTTTGTGTATAGTGCTAATGAGCAAGATGGTGAACATGGTAATCATTATATCTGCTAAATCAGACATGAGCATTTCGCTCAAAGCACCATTTCGCTTTCTAGCAGCAGTTGCTAACACGGCTGTATCTTCTGCATCAAATATAACCCATATAACCCAAGTACCCTACGTTGTAGCCTACCCAAAAATTTAACTACATAAGAACTGGGACTGGTTGGCTTGGTAGCATCACATTTCTTAATAAAAATTTCTGGCTTGTCTTCATGTGCCATTTTCATATTCAATTGAAATTCAGTGAAAGTTGATCATTCCAGAAGAATGGTCATAAATTCCCACGAACACACTCCTAAACCTTGTAAACAGCCTTGTAAACAGTCTTCCCAGAAGAGGTGAATCTGTTATAGCTGCAAAGGGTGGGCCAACTCCATATTATGGGATGTCATTGTAAATGCTCTGTATTTGTATAGCGCCTTTCTAGTCTTTTCGACCACTAAAAGCGCTTTTTACACTACTGCATTCACCATTCACACACATTCATTCACTGAGCCCAAGTGCTCAAACAGAAACTAACACATTCATACACTGGTGGAACAGCCACCAGAGGCAATTCAGTATCTTGCCCAAGGACACTTCGACAAAGGCTGGAGGAGCCACAGTGGCCCCTATAACCGTCATGTCCATGTAAAGGCCGGCAATCCGAAACTTTTTGGCAATGTAGATCACAGCAGGACACTATTCAAAGCACTGCATGTATCTCTACTAAAGTAGTAGTAGTGTAGCCATCTCCCAACTCACAATGTCAACAGTAAACCCACCATAACTCCACAGATCAATTCTGAATCCTTTGAGTAAGTTTCTATTAATGTCTCAGTCACCAAACTCAATATAGCACAAGTATGTGGCTGAGTTACAGGAAGCTTTGCCTATTGTGTTTTATCTTCACCCTCATCTGTCTGAGTGAGCAGTGAATTTATATTGATCCTTTGAGGGTTTTTCTCTGCCTTGATATTAAATACAGTATTACTTTAAATCTGAAGAAAGGGAGTCCACGCAAAGGTAATACTTCAAACAAGAGTAATTAATTAACACAAATAGAAAATTGAGTGCGGAAACAAGCAATATCACCAACGCATGGATGAGTGGCACGTGTGCTCTGGAAGTGTTGACTGTGCAAACCACTAGAAAAAGATGTAAGGAGGATGTGAGCTGTGGGACGAGAGAGACGGATTGAGCACATGGGCCCACTTATACCCTGAAGGCCCAGGTGAACTAGATCAGCTGAGGACCCTCCAATGCCACCAACTCAGAAGGAAGGAGGTAGGAAAGAAAAGAAAAATCCATTATGCTATTTAACACTGTTCAGAGGAACCAGGCATTAGTGAGAGGTGTTACGAATTAACATCTTAAGCTTTAACATAATTTAAAAGCCAGTTTCTGTAGAAAACAGTGTTGTTGGAGTCTCAAAACCAAACAAGTAAATAGTATTGATTCTTACTCTTAAAACCTTCAGGCAAAAAGAGGAGCTTTGTCGAGAGAGATAATAACCATTGATGATGGGGATCTTGGCTTGGGCTGGAGGACTACACACTATTTTGTATAAATAAAGGCAACGCTACAGACCGGCAGCGTCAAGATACAGGCTTTTCTGAAAGAGAGGGCGTAAAGGTGCCAGTATGCTTCTTCAGAACTGCTTGTTGGATGGTTGAGTAGCTTCAGAAAGGGATGAGAAAGGAGCGTCTCTCTCATCTCTTTTTTTTGATTCATGACAAAACTCTTTTTGTCACTTTCATGTAACCAACTGAGTGCAACACTATGAATTCCTACCAGGAGAGACTGTCTGAACCATAGACTCTATATAAAGATGTTCTCAGATAAAGATGTTAGCGGTTGGGGCATGGGCAAGACAAAAAGTACATGCCCAATAAATTCTCCCCAAAGAGTCATTTTATGTAGTTTTTATCAAGCTGATGTTTGTTGAAGTGTTAATATTTCTGATACGTTTGGATTTAATTAGTTATTCCATGCTATAAAAAGGAAGTTTCATGTTATGATTGACAGATTTGAGTCGGCCGGGTTTATGGGCAGGACCTTGATACCGCGACTCCAACCCCGGTCACTACTGCCAGACTCTGGCTCCACCAGGGCAAAATGGCAGCGTCCGTATACTTTGGCTTCATTTTTGTACTGTGGGAGGAAGAGGAGATGCGTTGTCCATCTTTATAGACAATCTGTGGTCTGAATATGTGTGTCTTCACCCCTCCTGTCTTTACAATTGCGAACCTTATTCCCCATGCAGACTTCCACACTCCCCTCCAGTACTGACATCTCTGCGCTATTAAAATCAAGTAGATTTTCACCCTCTTGAAACCTTCCTTTGTTAGTTATCTGACATTAATGTATATGCCCTTTTCTTCACTGTTGCTTGTTCTGCTGCCTTACCTGTAGTTGTTACAGCTACAGAACATTCAAACAAACTGAAGAAAACCAAAAGGATTTAGTTATTCCTCAAAATAACTAACTTGTTATTTTTCAAGTACAGACAGTTCAGTCTGCTGGATTGAGCAGATGATAATATTGTATTCTAGAGAGAAAAGAGCTGTATGATATGAACATTGTGTCTGGCAGTCCATCACAGACAGTCTAATTGGTGCTGACTTAATAGTCTCTTAATGTCACTTGAAGGTCTGGCAACAGCTGCAATTATAATTGGCTCTGGGTTGACATGCAAGGCCCGGGCAGGCAGACCAGGACGGGGCCAAGCCCGTCTCGACACGGCAGCAAATATGTGTGTGTGGAAGTTTGACTGTGAGGAGGCCACTACATGTGAATTCAAGGGTCACAGGACAAGAGAAGAAGCAGAGAGAAAATCCCCATCAGCTGGTTATGCTGGAGAGAGGCCGCTGCCTCACCCTGCGGGAAAATAGATCTGACGACGGGTGCATCTGAACAGGATTAGGGGGGTCAACCGGAGAGATGAGGACCAGCCTGGGAGTAAAGCTACTGCAAACCACACACACGGGATAAATGTCTTATTCTCAAAAAGCAAAAAGATGAAAAAAACATAAGGTTTCTTTGAGTCACAAGATTTACATCTCACTCACAGGCTGCTGTCCGAGATTAAATCCAGCACTTTAAGCAAACACAGCTTCTTCACCGATGTGTGTCATTTGTGAACCCAAACTGCAACAACCATCAAAGCAAGCACTACACTACATTTTGATAGACAGCACGATTGATCTTCTCCCCACAAGCGGGCTGATTGTGGGAGGCGTCGGAGGAGCCTGGAGGCCTAGCAGATCAATCGTGTTGTCTATTCAAAAGCAGTTAAGATCTTGCTTTCATTTTCACTGGTCACAAGTAAAAATTAAACTCTGCAGAAGCTGTGACTCAAAAGTCTCAGTGACAATAAATCACTGGTCACATTGTTTAGTTTTGCCCTCAACCCGTGATCCCATCCTGCTGCACGCTGAAGACTTGTTGCTTCACATAGAATGTTAATGGGAGCTTGCCAAGCTTTACCAAGCGGGAAGCTTCCGGTCAGCAAATTGATGCGAACGCGAAAGTCCCCGAAACCTGCATTCGATCGAACGGCCAGCAGGGGGCGACTCTTCTGTTTGCAAAAAGAAGTCCGGCTCCATTAGAAACAACAGTAAAATGAGGCTACTTCTCACCTGATTTATTACCTCAGTAAACACTTTCCTAATGAGTTTATGGTCTCAATCGCTAGTTTCATGTCTGACGGCGCCCTATCGGCCAAACTCGAGGCTTCAAAATGGCAGTCCAGAAACCAACAGGTGACGTCATGATGACTACGTCCACTTCTTATATACAGTCTAGTCTGTATATACAGTCTATGGTCTATACCCAACTTTTCTTCTCTATTAAGGCAGTGGTTCTCAGCGGTCATTGAGGAGTTTCCTGTGGGTCCCCAACAAAAAGGGGAATCATTTATTTTCACTTTAATTCCATCCATAAGTAACATAGTGACTGAATGCATGACTATTTTGGTCATGGATTTCATACACTTTCTGGAATAAAACATCTAAAAGCCAAAATCTTATCAAGTGAGGGTCTGTGGTCTAATTTGTGTCAGTTTAGGGATCCTTGACGTGAAAAAGTTTGAGAACCACAGCTGAATTAAGGCACTAAATTTAAGTCAATGTTGCTAAAAGCATTGGCTGATCTCTTTAGAGGGATATTTCGGGATTTTTGAAGCGGGGCTGTATGAGGTACTTATCCATAGTCAGTGTATAACCTGCAGTAGATGACGGTCAGCGTGTCCCCAGTTTGGAGAAGCAGAGAGTTGTAAGTAATGTACTGCTGTGGACAGGGCCAGCAGCAAAACGTATTTATGCCACGGAAAAGGCCCACTGAAAAAAATCCATATCAGTTGAACTGATATTGATTTTATTCAGGGGCCCTTCTTTTAGGTGGCTTTAATATGTTTTGCTTCTGGCCCAGTCTACCTTGCTTACCTTTCGTATGACACACTGACCGCCATCTACTGTGGTTAGTACCTCATACAGCCCCACTTCAAAAATCCCTAAATATATCTTTTTGGGATTGTGTTGTATGGCCTACTTGTGCTGCGTTTCCATTGTTTTGTTGGCCTTGACTTCCACCACATCCTGAGCTGTGCCCCAGTTCTGTACTACAGACTTGTAGTATTCAGTACTGTATGTACTACTGTATATTTTCATTACTGTTGTTGCAGTTATTGTATGAGAAATTATGTACTTTGCCATTTTGTGTCAACAAGTGATACAAAACGTGTGCCTCTGGAAAGTAGATTCAATTACTGTAAACTTTACAAATATGTTCAAAACAAACTCTTCTTATTGCAAATGAAAAGTTAAAAACTGTTCGACTCAACACACCTTTGCTGCTACAGCCTTTGGTCCGGTGTGACCACTAGCTTGTGGTGGCTAATGTTAGCAAACTTCAGATCGATATTGTAACGGACATGACTTGTTCAGTATTACAATTCTTCTCTACTTACGATATTGTTATCCAGTGTTTTTATCATTTAGCTGCTGTTTAACAAAAGTCACATTGTCTTTATCTCGCCACATTATTGTAATCTTACGTGTAAAACCATTTTGTTGCAGTGGTAAACTACTATTTCTTAGCTGGAAGTAGTAACTTGAAGTCTTGTTTTTACAGGATGTTAATTATTGAGCTTTAAAAGGTGCTGGTAGGTGGATAGTATTACCATTAGGCAGAGCAAGGCTAGATGTTTCCCCCCCAGTCTTTATGCTAAGCTAAAGCTATTTACTGTACAGATATAAGAGTTGTCTTGATTTATTCAAAGCAAATGAGTATTTACCAAAAAATGTTTTTATTTTTCCAATGTGAAGGCACAACATACTCGAAAGCTCCAAAGAATTAGTTTGTATTATGGAGCAGCCTAAGTAATGTTCAAGATTACAAAGTCAAGAAGTAACTCTCTCCTCCAGGAATGAGCGTGGTGTCTGGCTGTGGAGAGCTGAACAACTGCTGTGTTTGCTTTTCTAATCCAATTTCTAAAGGGGGAACACGACAGGTGCGCAGGCAGAAAATATATTAATAAATCAATACTGGCTGGTGGCAAGTTCAGGTTAGAATAAGTGTATTGTTTCTCTGAACACACTGTAGCTTCTCTTGAATGTTAATATATATTATTTCCAATGTGAGGAATGTTAAAATTAAAACTAATACTGGAAGTCATCAGCCTCCTCCAGCAAACAGTGAGGCTTTTAATGACATTATCAATCTGTGGTTAACCTCGGTCTAAAATTACTTAATTACGGGTGCTATAAGCTCAAAGAACAGTGTTTTGAATTCTATCTTCATCAGCTGATGATCAGTCCAACACGGACTACCGATGATTACTGGCTGGTGCAGGGACTCAGCAACATGCAAATGCTTAAAAAAAGATAAAGATGAAACATTTTGCCATACTAAAACTGTGGTTTTTGAGACAAGAATAAAATATGGTATTGCTTTCACTCTTCACGGTCAGTTTTCACTCATTCTTACACACACCAAAACCTAGCTTACACAGTGTGGCATTTGGCCAACTGTCCGCCTAGAAAACACTTTTCCTAGAGTACAGATTATACAAAAGGTTATTTCCCATTGAAATTAATAAAGTCATCTATCAATCTATGAGCCCGAGGTGTATATGTAGATCTGCCAATCTACATATACACTTCAAGCTCACTAGTTGGAATAGCTGCCTCCCAACCAAAAGGTGTTTAGGGTTCAAATCCTGCTCTGTGACTTGTTGGCTTATCAATCATTAATTCATCTGTCAGCCATCACATTTTCTTATGAACTCTTTCTAGGTCTTATTTTTCTACAGTTACTACCATCTCTCCAAAGCTTAAAGCTACAGTTTAGCATTAGTGAAATGATTATTTGGTAAAGGTTTCCAGAAAAATAAACCACCAAGGTGAAACTTGGAGTGCAGTCAGCTATAGTGTATTTTATACTGTTACAACTGGGAGTCAGAGCATTTGGACATTAATGGTAAAATAACAAGTATTGCTGGTCAAGCACAAAAAAAAACAACAACACGTAGTTGTATTTTAGATTTTATCACAAAATGTACTTTAGTATTCTTTGCATCAGATGTGAGAGATGTTGAGCTCATTGCAGTGGATGTGTACACATTATTAAGACTGAAGCAGACTTTTCCAAATTATGTCCATTCAGCAGAAGCATGAAATATATTATGGATAATAATGAAGAAGCATCAGGCGTCAGACCGGTTTTCATCTGCACCTCACTCATAGAAAAGAATGGTACTGCAGACATGTTTAAAATAAATACAGAGTGCCAATAAAAGACGGCAGGAGTGATTTAAGTAAACAAAATCAAACACCTGAGGACAGAATCTGTCAGTCCGTGAGGGGCTAGTAATGGGCTGCTGCTCACTTCGCCTTCTTGTACTTTCTCATATGTGCTGCTATTGAGTTGGTGATCTCCACGCTTCTTTTGTTCTGTCCAAAATACTCCACAAATTCTCCGTCGGGTCCCACAAGGTACATGATGATTGTGTGATCAACCTAAAGACAAAAACAGGTGGAGTTTTTTTATTCTCCTATATTATCCTTGTGTTGTTATGACATGTAGTATAAATAACAACAGAGCAGGTTTTAACTCACAATGTAGTCGTTGTCTTCATCCTTAGGTCCCTGGCTGTAGTAAACTCTGTAGGATCTGGAAACCTGCTCAACCTGAGCTTTTGTTCCCGTCAGGCCAATCAGCTTCGGGGAAAACTCTGAAAAATGAATAATGTATCTATTAGAAATAATGCAAGTTATCTCTTCATTTGTTAATAATAAATACCTGGGATAAAGTCCAGTATATAGGTAAATAATGTGGTTTAATCTGTGGTTAAATGATCAAAATTCATTTCACAGCTGAAACATATTTTAGGATAATTAGACATATTGGTGTTTTGTACTCATCCGGTCATTCACAGTTCTACTTTATCAGAATATATAATTTTTTTCCTGTCAAATCTGTCACCATAATTTTAACGTAGCAATGCAGATAATGAATCAATGATGGATGGAGGCTTAAAATAACCCACTTGTTGAACCACCTGCATTTTACAGACTTTTACACTTTAAGTGTAAAGTTAAGTATTTTGCCAGACAGCGCGGCTTCAAACTGCCAGTTTTGCATGAAGTTATTAAGATATAAGTGACTGCTGGATTAACTGTACACAGTCCTTTGCTAACGTGTGAAAGAGGACAATTCATTTTATCAGGCTGCAACGAACGACAATTTTCATCATCGATTAATCTGTCGATAATTTTCTCGATTAGTGATTTTAAAGAGAATTTCCCTTTAAAATCGATTAATTGTTGCAGCTCTGATAAAAGTAATTAGGAAAAACCTGGTGCACCTAAAAATGTCATTACGGTAATAGTAATTTATAACAGTATTTTAAAGTTGGACTTTACTATTTAGCTGCAACAGTTGCATAATAGTATTAATGAGGTTTGGACAAGGTGTCTTTGTTTTAGAACATATGAATATTCAACACGCAAGCACAGACAATTCCCAATTCCCTGTAATTCAACCCTATTGTTAAACCACAATTTACTCCATCGACATATACCTTTCACATATGCAGCCATGGCCTCTGGTGTGTCCCTGTCAGGATCAATGGTGATGAGGACAGGCGTCAGGTTTGGGAGAGACTTTATTTTATCTGTGGAAAAACAAAATGAGAACAAGATGTTTGAGAGAATGAGGGTAAAAGACAGGAAAGTGTGTCTTGTGTCTCATAATTCCTCATGAAAACAATTACAGTACCTATTTCATCCACCACTTCAATCATTTTCTCTATTTCATCCGGGCAGATGTCCGGGCAGTGAGTGAACCCGAAATAGATGAGGACCCACTGGCCGAGGAAGTCCTCACTCTTGCAGGGCTTGTTGTTGTGATCGATGAGCGAGAACGGACCACCCAGCGCTGGTCGACCAATAGATTTGGTCCGCTCTTTTTCAATCACTGCAAAATTTAACAGTTAATAATTAAATGTGCTAAATTAGCTTTGTTTACTAAATTCACCAACATGTTTTACACATCAATTTTATGCCCTTTATGCGCACTGTACATCGAGAGATAAAATACTTACGTTCTTCCTTTTCTTTCTTGAAATATTTCATCCCTCCAAGCAGAGCGCCTCCAATAGCAAATGTTATTGCTAAAGATTTCCATGTAACAGGCTTTAGAGAGGAGACAACAACAAAACTAAAATCATGGAGGAATCTTTACAGTCGAAGACAACTGCATCTTGGGTCAGCTAAACCCCGGAAATCAATCTGTAAGCGTTTTCCTTCCCAGACTGCCTGAAGCACATGTTGCAGATAATTAATTAAGAGACTCTCCTCTCTAACGAACTCAGATCATTATTTGCATATTTAAATTGTTAGAATAAACTGTAAATATTCTCTCTGTGGTCAGAAAGACACCTGTTTTTCATTTAAGTGCACTCTGGTGATTTTGTCTCATGCCTCATGATATTTGTATGTCGTTTTAAAGGCCTTGACAATGGTCTAATTTAAAGCTACCAAATATCTTTTTCATTTCCATACTGTTATTTCATTAATCAGTGTGGTGGAGGGTTTTGAAAAACTAATAACATTTTCTGTGAATGTAGACACTACATAAGGGATTCAGTTTACTGCTCAAAGACACAACCAAGAGGGGAGCTGGAGATCAAACCTTCATGAAACCACTTCCCTAGATGCTCTTTCCTGGAGTTTGAAGTTAACAAGTTTCCGCCTCAATAATAATAAAGATGCATACAAAGCAACAACTTTTAGAAACCTTAGCCTAAAATATTTGTTGTAGCCTTTTTAAACCCACATCAGAGAAATCCTTGCAAACAGCTTATGCACGATCACAGACATTTGAATAGTACACTGGCATATAAAGGCAGTTGCTGCTTACTGCATCTGCAACATGACAAAGTTACTACATCATGACAAATAAAACCTCTACTAACTGCAGCCTTTATATTTCAGGGTGTATGTGACATGTGAATACTCTATTTGAACCTGGAAACTGAATTCACAGTTAATTAAGAGTTGAGGAAAGTCAAAACTGAGGGGTTGCAACTCTAACAATAACCTTTGTCACTTACCCCAGACTTCTTCTTCTTATCCCCTGATGAGGGCGGTGGAGGTATTGAGGAAAGTGTTCTCACGGAGTGTTGATACAGCCACTGAGCTGGTTTGCATGCGTGCCACGGACTCACATTCACCTGTTAATAAGTAAAGACAGGAAAAATAGATTTGGTTGAGTTGAAGCCTTAAATCCCAATATCTAGCCATGTGGTGTATCTGGAGATGCTTTATAAATTATTTGTAGTTTTTTTTCCAATCCAGACAACAATATTTCATTAGATTGTTAGCTGTAAGAAATGTTTTGTCTAGTATTTCAACAGCATTTTAAAAAAGCGATGCACGAAAGAAAAAGTGAGGTTTTGAGATTAAATAAGATAAGATAGACTTTATTGATCCCACACTGGGGAAATCCATTTGTTACAGCCAAGGGTGTCACTTTGTGTTGAAAAGTGGTGGGAACACTGGGGCTCAGATAAGGTGTGTGACAAGACACTTAGCTCACGAAATGTGATGATACACTATATTGGGTTCATGAGATGGAGACAATATTTCATAGCTATATTAAAGACATCTTAAATGCAGATATATAGGATTAGGGGGTCTGGGAGTCATCCCCCAGAAAGTTTTGAGCATTAAACACTTAATGTCCTGCATTCTGGTGAATTCTTCTGCACCAATTGGAAATGTCTTTAATTATGTAAAGGGAAAAAAATAACATTCAGGTGGCAGGTGATATAAATATAATATAGGAAGGCTCTCAGGCATTCTGTATTGCTTTCAGAAATTTTTGTCCTGAAGGCACACATGAAGGCATGATTTAGTCGTCCTTTTGCATTGGCCAAGATCATTTTATAATCACTAGATTGTTTTTTAAGCTTAAGTTACTGTTCTTTTTTTAGACAATACACATTTGTTTCTTCTGTATTTCTTTTTTTGCACAATACACATTTGTTTCTTCTATATTTACATTGCACTACAAGTTCTTTCTAAACATTTCTCAAAGCATTTTCATTTGCTATTTAAAATTTCTTGCTGCAAGCTTTTTTCCAGAACATTTTTACCAAATGCTTTCAAAAAAAGTGATGGGGACAAAATCAAGCCATTTTTCAGTGCAAATGACACCTATGGTTACAGCACTTCCAGATACAACACACAACATACAAGAAAATACACATTGAATAAATAAAACAGAATAGAAATAAATAAGTAATTGTCCTATCAAGTATCAAGATAATTCCCATGTAGATGGTGTGTTGTACGCGAACTGACAGGTGGTAATTAAAGGTTAAAGTGGTTTTTTTAGCTACGAATCGTGGTGTTGAACTTGCTATTAACGAGTGCGCTAAATTGCCCATTTTCTAAATGGAGTTTGGTGGTACATCAGATATCGATAGCTAGCTTTGACCTACCAGGCAGCAGCGAACTGTGGGCGGTGACAGTGTTTCTTTCAGTCCAGTTTCTCTCCGTAAAACATGGTGTGCCAGTCTGACAGCTTGGGTCTGAGTACATGTTTGTAAGACTTTAACGTTACTGTGGAGCAACCGGCAGCACAGGCTGTGATATAAAACACTCATGTTTGGACCTTTACAGAACCGCTGCTGAAACACGGAAGCGGTGTAGAAAACGTGATGATAGATACGGTACAACGTAAAACTGCTGTCCCTGAGTCAGTTTTATATTTTCCAAGTGAGGTTAAAAATATCAGTCCAAACTAAAAAAGGCTGCTCTCAGATCAGTGTTTACTTTGCAGTTACTCATTAACACAGGAAATGACGTATGATACATCTTCTTCTATCGTCCTTTCATCCTTGCGCTCTCTGCTGCCCCTTGGAGGGCAGGGAAATATTGTTACATAGAAAAATAAACGTGTAACTTTCACATTTAATTAGTTTATTTATGTTATTTCATAGTATTTATACATTGTACTTTATTTGAAAGCATATTAAAGTACTTGGAATTTATGGTTATAATAGACTTCAATATAAAAAAAACAGCTTGTGTAGGTAAATACTGGATAAGAAATAGTTTTAGTTTGTTAATAGCTGTCATGTGGATTTTTTTCAGTCAAAGAACATAATAAAAAGGAATATTTAAGCCAAAAATGGGACAAGAAGCTGATGTCTAAATAACAGTTTTACAATGTGAAGGCCAGTTTGATGTCAGCTCCTTGTTGATAAAGTAGTAAAGCCAGGACACGAAGGGGGACCGTGATTGCAACAGCTGTTGAGACTCTGAGCGTCCCGACTGGAGCCCTGAACAGAGAAGAGACACATACAAAGCTTCTTTGCAGTACATTACACCAATTTTATTTGTGAGAATAGAAATACATCTCCTGGTTACACCTTAATTTTACCTTCCAGAGTGGCGACACAGGAGCAGCCAAACAACCGTCAACGTGAGACCAGAGAATTCTCTAAAGGGGAAAAAATAGGTTAAAATTCACATTATTATGTTTACCTGAATCAGTTATGCCTACAATTTTATGAGCTATTTTGTTATACCTTATTAGCAGTAATTAAATTCATTAAGCATTTCTGTAGTTGGTCTGTTACCCTGAATTCATTGTGTTGAACTATTCAGTCAGCTTTGTCGTCAATTTCTCCACAAGTACCAGACATGAAGAACACAGTGAAATAATTAAATAAAATGCACAAAAAAACAAACGACTTAGATGTTATTTTTGGTTTAAAAACAAAACAAAAGGTACTTATACAAAAATAAACAGCAAAGACGAAAAACTTCCTGTATGATATAATAGTGCAAATTTGCTATATACAAAAACTGCAGCAAACCAAGTTTTGGTAGCAAGATAAACATACATTTGATGGTGCAAAATGTAAGATATGACATAATGGGGGTGGAAGAGAGGGGAGAGAGTTCAGCTTCCTGACAGCCTGGTGAATAAAGCGGTTTGTGAGTCTGGCATTACATTGTAAGTGTAATCGCACATAAGAAAATAAATCTCTGTGCTTTTAACTTGTCCCACTGGTTCTTTCCAATCATATATACTCAGACTTTCCTGTTGCGTTCACTTTCTTGTAATAATTTTTAAAGAATCCACTTTAAATAATCCAAGTAATATATAATGAGAGATGAGGTGTCTGTTTTTAAAAATGTACATATAAAAAATTTTGACGTGCAAAATGCACATACAAGTTTGGCACGCTTGTTAGATCACTGCAGTGCTGCACACTGCACAGCTACTTTAAGCAACAGTCCAACAGTAAGACAGAGTCTACCTGCCCTCCTCCTGTTGTAAGATCTCTGTGATTCGCTCTTTATTAAGACTCCATGCCAACATGGCAACAACGGCGCTGGAGATCATCACATGGAGATCTGCAACACGCCTCCAGGTCAAAGTCTCTGCAAGGAAGCCAAGAAAAACATGCAAAAAAAAGGGTCAAATGTACAAATCAGCTCTGCAGTTTCTGAATGTTAAGGTTGAGCTTTAGTGACCTGTGCAGTCATGATAAAGCCACTTGATGGCGCTATCAGCTCTGTAAATGTGCATTCATGCAGAGTTCAACAGCCTGTAAAGTGTGGAAAACAGGCTAAACTGGGACAGACAGTCCCTGTATCACTTTAATTCTTAATGTGCAGTTCATTGAGTGAAGTGACAGTAAAAAACGTATGTGTCTACCTGTCACATGGGGTTTCCAGCCGATAACCGCACACAGGACTGTAGGAACACTATAACCCACCTGGAACAGAAAGAAAGGTGGTGTAAATAACAAATCACAAACAGACTATATGTGCGAAATGCTTGAAATCTCACCATCCATAACCCCGCGTCCGGGTCATTAATCTGAAATCGGGGCACAGTATGTTTTCGTTAATGATCCGGACTTTGTAGGAAATTATGCCATAGGCTATATATGAGAAACTAAGCGCTCACCTGAACATATGTTGCAAGAGCGAAGAATAAAGACATGGAAACGTGCAGACTTGCCAAATCACAGAAAGCCATGACTTGGTGTTCTCTCTACAAACTTCCCCATTGCTTCCAACCTTTCACCTCCCCGCCTGGGCGTCTTGCTGCTGAAAGGGTTTGTTTGATGTCAACTACGAATTCTGCATGCTGTATTGACATGTTTGGACCACAGATCGGACCACAATTCCCAAAATTATTTAATGCCACACTCCCCTTTAGGACCACAGGCCATCATTATAGGCGGATCTTCAATGATTTCTCTAATTTTGTCATCTCTGCACCCAAAGATACAGTTTATGATTACAATATTGTTATTTATATGTCCTCTGACAAAGCTGTCTACTAGCGTGGGGAAAAAA